CTTGAAGTGCTACAAATCACCTGGCCCAGATGACTTACCTCCGGCTCTTTTTAAAGATGGTCGTGACTTTTTGACTAAGGAATTGACGACGTTGTTTACAAAGGTTTGGGAATTAGAGAGTGTACCAACGTCATGCAATGAGTCGATAGTTGTCCCTATCTTTAAAAAGGGTTCACGTCGTTCCTGCAACAACTATCGGGGGATAAGTCTACTTCCGATTGCGTCCAAGCTATTGGCTTCCGTCATACTTCGTAGGTTGTTCAAAACCCGAGAAAGATTGACTCGCGAGGAGCAGGCTGGGTTTCGTTCTGGTCGAGGTTGTATTGATCATATCTTCACCCTCCGCCAAATGTTAGAACATCGCCATACTTATCAAAGGCCAACAATCGTAGTGTTTCTTGACATCAGAGCTGCCTTCGATTCGTTGGACAGGACTGTTCTCTGGGATTGTCTATTGAAGAAGGGTGTGCCTGAGAAGTTTATTAACATCCTAAAAGCCCTATATAAAAACACCTCAGGCAGAGTGAGAGCATACAACCACCTCTCTCCATTGTTCTATACGAGTAGTGGGGTTAGGCAGGGTTGCCCAATCTCACCATTCCTCTTCAACTTTGCCATCGATGACATTCTGGAAACAGCTCTGATGAATGTAAGTAATGGTGGTGTGGATCTGTTGTCTGGAGAAAGACTTCTCGACCTTGAGTATGCGGACGATATTTTCTTACCGTGCGACAATCCCCAAGACATGCAATCCGCACTTAATCAGCTGGCAATCAGTGTCCGTAGGTATGGTATGTGCTTTGCACCTTCGAAGTGCAAGTGACTTCTACAAGACTGGCAGGATTCTAACCCTGTAATCACCCTGGATGGTGAACAGATAGAAGTAGTCGAGAAGTTCGTGTATCTGCATAGGTGCTGGTGGGGGTGTGAATGATGAGATCAATACACGTATAGTGAAAGCCAGAGCGGCTTATGCCAATCTGAGCCATCTTTGGCGCCTTCGTGATGTTAGTCTGGCTGTAAAAGGTCGGATCTACAACGCGTCGGTGAGAGCAGTTTTGCTCTATGCTTGTGAAACCTGGCCTCTCCGAGATGAGGACGTTAGACGACTCTCTGTGTTCGATCATCGCTGTCTCCGAAGGATTGCTGACATCCAGTGGCAACACCATGTTAGTAATGCAGAAGTTCGTCACTGTGTGTTCGGGCACAGAGACGATAACGCAATTGGTGTCACCATCTTGAAACACCGACTCCGGTGACTTGGACATGTTCTACGAATGTCGTCTCAGAGAATTCCACGTCGTGCATTACTTGCCGACTCTGGGACTGATTGGAAGAAGCGGAGGGGTGGTCAGTGCATAACATGGTGTCGTGGTATGAAAGAAAGCTTCAAAGGACTGGCTTCTGTTGGTCCTTCACGACTCCCTGATTGGGGTCCGAGAGATGGTGCTACACAGTGGCTAGAGACGTTATCAGATATGGCTCAGAATAGAAGTCAGTGGCGATCCTGCTGTAACCTTTTACTTTCTTCATAAAAGTGGTTGTTTCTTCCTTAACTGAAAGATTTCTTCTGATTGTACGTTTCCGTTCCCCCATTATGACTATGATTATTACTACACTACCTTACACCAATCTCTTCAGTATTGTTTTTTTATATTTTTTTCGTTTCTCAATTTTTTTCTTCTATAATTCTTATTGTTTTGTGTGGCGCATATATATTTGGCGCACTCCTGTACCAATATATATTTGTTCAAATAATAATAATAAAATTTCTTAATTGGAACGATGGATTTTATACTACCACTGTCAACAATGAAATCGTGAAAAGCACCACTGGACAAGTATAATCGTTTTGAATAAGAAGGGAATTACTCAAAGTTTTTAAATAAGGATAGCATATAATTATTAGAACTATCGATATTAGTAGGATCTGAACTACAAATTAGTTTTACAAACCGACTGAATATGCCCCATTTTATCACAGTTAAGGCATTTAACATGACGAAAGACACATGAAATTTACCACTAGATAAACATTTGTCAAATCTGTGCTCACCTCCGTAAACTGCTTTGGAGCTCCTAAATTATCCATGTTTACACGACAGCAAGAATTATCATTAATCAGACGCCTACCCGTATGACCTTGAATACGAATCACATTATGGTAACTAAGTAGTGTAATAGAATTCTTGATGTCTTGGAAGTCAAGTTCATGCACTGCTTCATGAATAACACGCAGTTCTAGTGTCCCGGGAGAAACAGTTCGACCTGTGGATCGCCAATATTACAACACAGTGGTTGAGACTTGTTATAACTGTGACTGATAATTCCCATTTAAACATTAAAATTAAAACACGGATTTCAGCGAAGGGATCTCTTTTCAACGAATTTATTATCAAGCTGTACAATCGTATATATATATGAAAGTTTTTATAAAAGTACTAATTCCGTGATGATCAGTCAATTTCACCTTTACGTTAGATATATGGACGACACGTTCATCGTTTGTGACAATAATATTGATTTAGAGGATATTTTAAACACCTTTAACTTATGCCACCCTTCTATAGACTTCACGTTAGAAAGGGAACGGGACCAATCAATTCCTTTTCTCGATGTACGTCTGATGAGAAGGAGTAATGGTTCTTTAAAACGATCAATCTTCAGAAAACAAACATGGAATGGACAGCTAACTAACTTCTATAGCTGGGTTCCGTTAAGTAGAAAGAGAAATCTCATCCACTCTTTATGTTATCGAATACGTCAGATATGCAGTAAAGAATGCATTAACGAAGAACTGGAATTCCTCAAGAAAACCCTAACGGAAAATGGCTACCCAGAACGGTTCATAGAAAAGAATATGAATAGAGGTAGTTGTGACAAGAAACCTAGTTGCTCCGTTACGAAGAAAAACCTTTATATAAGTCTGGAATTTAAAGGTGATCGAACATCAGAAGTAATCAAAAATCGTCTAACAACAACTATTAGACGAACATTTAATGCAGCTAAATTGCGAATAAACTTCACGAGTAGGAACTCATTTTCCGTGTCCATAAAAGACAAGCTTCCGCGTCTGGTCGCCTCTATGTGCATCTACCAGTTCACCTGCTCTTGTGGAGCAAGGTACATTGGCCGTAGCCAGCGCTCGCTTTCAACTCGGATACGGGAACATATTCCGGCTTGGTTCTATAAGGGGGAAAGGAAAGCAGTTAGGAGTTCTATACTTCAACACCTAATCGACTGTAACCATTCCACTGATCCAAGAAATGAATTTAAGATTGTTTATATGATTCTACCCAGATTTCTTCGCATCCAACTTTTAAAAATAGCCGAAGCTCTTACCATCCAGGAGCTTAAACCATAACTATGTGTACAAAAGAAGTACGTCTTATCGTTACCTTGGACTTAAGTATTTTGATTATCCAATTATTATTATTATTACTGCATTCTCCCCTTTACTTATATCTTATATTTTCATTGTTTTATTAGTGAATACTCATCATATCACCATATTTATTTATTTTTACACCTCTATGACCTTTAATTATTATAACAAAAACATTTTAATCATCTTATTATACTCACCAAATCTATTATTTTTATTATTCATATTACGTAATCTAGTATTACAACCCTTTCATTAACTATGTTCACATTTCCTCACGGAATTAGTGCTTTTACAGAAACAAAATTTTCATATATATACGATTGTACAGCTTGATAATAAATTCGTTCAAAAGAGATCCCTTCTCTGAACTTCGTGTTTTAATAACTGTGACTGCCAGAGAGCAGTGAATTATCGATCGGACCAGGGACGGATGAAACACGTACAAGCAGTCTAGAGTACTTATTGGTCCTGCTTCCTGCATAGCCCAGTCTGTTTCGTCCAGAACACCGATTTAAGCCTCTGCAATATGAATCATTTATCTCAAACATACTGGGTTTATATACCAACCAGACAGACCACATCGTAATATAAAATAACATTTGTACAAGAATTAGCCAAATGTGGCTGTGAATGAGGGAAGTAGTACTTAATAGACAGAGCATAATTCAAGAATGGTAGATCGTATAATAATAGTTCGTAGGTCAAAAAAGCTCATAATGTTAGGGACATGAATATGAACAGTTTAGTTATTTAACAATCATACGATAAAAATACATGCATATTATCGGTCCATAAATGAATCCCAAAAGTTACCATTCATTATGCTTATCGAGACCTAACAAGACTTCCTCATTGTATGATGAGATCATGAAGTGCATCACTTCGAATTTAAGCTTAATGTACAGGGTGGACTATTTCCGTACGTCCTTAAAGGCCTTGTGTGGAGCAAGTATTTCGAAGACACCCACCGCCTACGTCGACATCCACTGCTGCTTAGATGTCCCCAGGGGTAACCAAACTACATTACCAGACTGTCGGTCTGTCCAGTGCCTGAAGATGAATACATCAGTTGGTGTCCACCCCTGATGTAGTTGTGAATTTAAGATGACATCGCTTGGAATTGCCCCTTATTTTGCCCTAAGCCTTGGATAGAATCTAACTTCGTACTGCTATGTTTAAATACTACTAGTTATTTCCGACACATCTATGAATTTAGTCAGAAAAACTAATATGACACTATTTCTTAGCCGGTGTAGATGTTATTAGTCAATGGGCGAAGAAAATCATCCAATTTTACTAGATCTGTGAGACATCATTTAGCATTGAGTTCTTTTCGACTACTGGTCCCAACATTGGGTTTCACAGAGTAGACAGGATGTGCCTGTACTAAAACTATTATCTGGATCATAATCCGATCACTAACTATTAGTTGTGGACCATGTATAACGTGACCTAGCACGTAGTCTGATTATATTGTATCTAATATGTAATGTTGTATTGTCCAGTCTGGTCAAGTATTGCATGTATTCATATAAACGATAAAACCAATTATTGCCCTTTCCATCAAGACAAACATCTATATCAGTGACACCAAAAACTTAAGAATCCAATATAAAATGTATATACCATAGTTTTTTTTAATATTACTAAATAAGTACTCGCTGGTACCATACAATTATTACATAAGTTAGATCCACTGTCAGAAGAATAAACGTGTATCACAATAGCACTAATAAAGAAAACAAGTAATTGTTATCACTAAGAAAGTTTGTTAAACATTATACAGAAATAACAATAGGAGCGTAATTAAATATTATTCATAGTGGAAATTACCAGGTTACACATGAACAACAAATAGCAGAGTTTACCTTGCAAAACAAAATAAACCTATTTTACAAATAAAATTACACAAAGAGGAAAATATGGAAAAGTGTAAATGATGATAGGATGAATTTTATATAGTAGTTTGTAAAGCTTAACCTCAAGAGGAAACTGTAAGTCAATACGCAGGAATGTCTTGGTTGGTTGTACGTGCAAAATGGAGGAAAATAGTGTATTGCACATACATAAGTGTAGAAAAATGAATGGTAACTCGAAAAAATAAACGAAACAACTAAATGTTATTTGGAATGGTTCACAACATGATAACATTCAGTGGTAAATTATTTATTTGTTTAGATAAATAACATCAAGTCTTAAGAATTAAGTGATATCCTCTTCTTCACTTATTGTTTTCTTAAGTTTGAGGAGAAGTGATGTAATCCATGGTTCAAGTCGAGTTATATTGTCATACTCTTGAACAGCCGCTGTAAAAGCTTCTACATTCTCTTGTTCCAAAGCTTCTGATAATTTCTGTTTGAAAAATGAAAATGATTTATTACTTCGAATAAGTGTCAATCACTTTAAAATAGATTACTTGACTACAATCGAAGAGATCAAATCATTAGTTTGCTGAAAAAGGGATTTGTCAGAACCTACTAATGGGTAGACACACAATTTGTAATTTACAAGCAACTACGTTTTCTTGAATTGAAACGAGATTATCATGATTAAACTTGTTTAAACTTTAAAAAAATCGGTCATTCACCGGTAAAACGACTTACGCAACGTCCCGAATAAGATGCTCAAGACCCGTTGATGTTACAAATGTACTGTTCCTATTAATAACAACCTACTCTCTAGTCAATTTATTCGAAATCAAATCGAATTTTAGCAGTTATACTTACATCTTACATATCTCAATTACGTAACAAACGTATATATGAGCATTCTTAATTGCTCACCTTCATCAAAGCACACTCTCTGGAGTCAGCGAACATAGGATAACATTCTTCATATGTTTTGAGCGCTTTTTGACCGTTGATTAAATCCACACAGAAATGACAAATGGCAGCCTTGAAAAGATGTCCTTTAGCACCATATTTCAATAAGTTGTTTTCCATTGATGCTTTACCAGCCTGTGAGAAAAATAGTGAACAAGAAAAAACATAACGCAATTGAAATGCATCTCACTAGAATTTCAAATAAAATCAAACACGTTACGATTGTTAAATGAAAGAGTTAAATAAGTCAGCTTGCAATGAAAAATGGTAATGAAAGTAGTTTTAAAATAAATGTAAATAACTGACAACATATAAATTATTATCACTTAAATGCATAAGCGCTGGTACAAGGGGGCACCAAATATATATGCACCACACTTCATCATTCGATTTGTGTGAAGGCTGAGATATTACCTGAGCGTCTAAATCGAAGCAAGACAACACATAAGTAAAAAAGAAGGATAATAAAAACGAAATACGAATCTGTCTACCAGTCAGTTTAGTTGGTATATTTTATGCAGAATGATTTGATTTTGATTTTCATCTCCTTAAATCTGTTTGTATCCTGTTAGTTTCGTAAATTGTCAAGGAGAAAACTGAGTAAAAAGTAACTTCTAATAAAACTGGTGAAAACTAAAAGGAAGAAGACGTGCTTATAAAGAATCATGAGTGAAGGCTATTATATAATGTGGGTCATGTTGACCATCTAAAGAGTATACCTTTATAAAAGTTAAGAAAAGTTTGGGTTACTTAAAAAAATATTTACTGAATAAAAGTCTGTTAAGCAAAATTGCATAAACATAGGATATATTTTTAATATCCTCATGAGTAGAGAAATTAGATTTTCTGACGTTTCGTGACTTAGTGTAAGCCACTTCTTCAGAGAATAAATAACCAAATATATGATTTATTTGTAACAATCTACCCAATTCCCAGTTTATTCGAAATTATCAAATCAAATCTTTGTAATGATACCTACAAACATTAGATATGTTTAATATTAAGGAGGGTTTTTTTGCACGATTCACCTCAGGGAGTTCGAAAATTGAGCAGGAGATAGGTGGAACTTAATGATGACTAGTAAGAAGTACGATACCGAAGACTTATTTATTTGAACACATAAATATTGGTACAAAGGGGCACCGAATACATATGCACCACATAAGTCACTTGATTTGTGTGTGGGCTGTGTTACTTCTCGGGCGCCCAAACCGAAGTAGGTGGTTTTCTTAGGGGGTCATTCCTCGAGCCTTCGACCTGAAGGTCTGACCCACAAGGCAGTGGAGCATCGTAAGGAGATGCAGTCCCATGGTAGCGGGTGACCAATGGTTGGTTCACACACCGTTTGTTCCCTTGGGATACTGGAGCCCATGTGCATCATTGATTTGGAACCAGGGTTTTCCAACTCCCCTAGGTGGACCCTCAATATCTACCAACCCGGTTAAAGCGCCGGATATTCGCTTTTCATCCTCCCAATTTCGTAAATAACACCTCTGCCATGAGAAGGAGTGCGTAGAACTTCTCTGGCAGTGGTTGTATGCACGTAGCCATATGAGAGCATTTCGAGAGGGAGAGCTGACTCTTTTCACTCTCGACCGTACCAAGGAATTGGGGAGATTATGTTCAATCATGAACAAACTGAAAAAGGAAGACCTGATATTTGCTGGTTCAAAAACTAACGTGCTTCCAGGAAAGTGGAATAGTCAAAGCCTTGAATAATAATAGCAATAATAATGATAAGAATAATAATCCAAAAACTCCTCTAGTAAGTGTAAATCTATGTAATCAATCTTAATAGTGTCTTTTGATGTCAGTAACATTAATGGGATGCTAAAGGAGAGAAGGTAGGTCAATATTTAAACTTGCAAACTACTAAATGAAATCTGAGTGCATTAGTCATTAAATTACTATTACGATAAGCATGATCGATTCGCAAATTAGTAGTTACATACAAGTGAAACAGTATAGGAAAAGATGTTTAATATTCTGGTTTTTAATAAACATTTAACTATTATTCAGTTATGATGTTAAGAACGAACAAATCCTATAGTAGAACACTTATGAATTAGATAAACTATAAATAATTATGTTCCATACTTAACTTACAAAGTTCTCACACTTAACTTTGGTCGATACACTTTAGTGAAAATTGAGTAGTTGCAATTTGTATTTCAAAATAATGTGTTACATTTATTAGTCATAGACGACCGTGAAAAAGTACATTTTACAAGTTCATTTGTGACCTACGAGAACAAAAGTGGTTTATTAAAGGATTATAGAATGCTGGGGATTTCTTTCAGTGTCTAAACTTCGATTCAGTGTTACAACGAACAGGAATGAACTGTTAAGACAAGAAAAATATCCATTTAATATAAATAAAAAGAGAGATAACTTAGGAAAAAAATATAATCTAATAGTATGAAGTTAGTTTACATTACGATCTAACATATGAGCTAAACAACTGTTCAAAACTAGATGTCAGACTTAGGCTTCTTTACATTTTGAGAATTTTCAACATTATGCATTCAAGTTAATTATTTAATGGAACGCAAAATCTATCATTTTACAAGTGAAAATTATGACGCAACCTACGAAATTTCACGTATGTACGACAAATAGTTTGACACTTAAATTTTCGACATCAAAACTAAATTTCGTGGATAGTATGCTGCTTACTACGTTCTTCTTACAAATATTTCGACCACCAATCGGACTATGGTAGGTTGTAACAGACTACAGTACACATTACAGAAATGTGCGAACCTGATTTACAGCCGATCTGACCAATATTAAGAAGCATATTCTCTTGAAAGGACTTATAGAAATAGATTTAAACAGATATTTGATGAAAAAAACTCGGTGCAGACAAAGACCTGGTACACTTTAAATTGCTACAAATTTCAAACTGAACTTTTTGAAATCAACAAATAATTGAAACCATTGTCGGATACGTGATTTGAATATTTGGTAGTATGTTGTCAATTATAAATTACAAGAGAAATATTAATAACGTAGTAGGTGATTATGAGTTTAACCTTGACTTGCCTATGGATCTATGATACTAAATAAAAATAAAATTGGATGTCACATACCCGAAAATGGACTACAAGAGTAGGCGCTAATTAGAATGTAACATACTTTATAGAAGGGTGAGCAACAATATCAGTGTGCTTAAAGTATTATAGACAACTTCATTTGCTAATAAAATGATAGATGGCGTTATATATAATGTTAATCGACAAGTATATTTTCCTATATTAACAGTATTGATCAACCCAATCGCAACTGAACTTTCACTGAAATCATGAACTGATTAATGTTAGACCACCACTGAGAAGCATTGGACAACCGTTTCGTCATACTATGGGACTCCTCAGCGCATGCACGGCCCTGAACACGGAAATCGAACCAAGGACCTTAGGTCTCGCACGCGGACGGTCAACCACTAGACCACTGAGCCAGGAACCAACGGCGTTAATGTCTAACTTCAATTAATTCACAGCATTGCACGAAAATCTTCCATTATTTTTTATGGGTACCTGCCTCATATCCAGCATGGTTGAACTCCAATGATCATGCCTTCTCACTAGATCCATAATTACTTGTCCAAGAATTGTTTTTAATTATGGTAACCTAGGTATGTTTTCGCACAAATCAGTGGGTTATCTGAACAGAATGCAAATCAATCAACAACTCAAACCTTGAATACATGGTCGCCCTTGGTCAAATACAACCACGGAAATCATTGTTTAGAACCAACTACAAAGTCTAAAGCACGGGTTTGAAGGTTTGGGTGAGGAATTTGTGCACAGGTGAAGCTATAACGATTTGCCATTTCAAAGCTGACCTCTGTGTACGAAAATCATGTTCAATCCTATATTCTTATTATTATTCCTCCTTCCTAATCTTAAAAACTGTAAGTGATAACAATTACATTATTCTTCACCTTTGTAAAGTAGACAGTTGTCTTCTGCATTTACTGTATAAATTATTATTTCTTATTACCTCGGAAACGATTACATAGCTTAACCCTTTGGTATTTTTTGACAAAGTCGCTAAATGATGCAACATCGATTCGATTCAATACTTGGGAACCTCGAGTAACTTTAGTTATTTTGAAATGACACTCTTCTATTAACAGACTTTTATATACAATACCTGAAATCTTTTGATTGCTTTATTAAGTGGTGCAACGCTTCTTTTTTGTGGTCTTTTACACTCAATACTTGGAAACGATTGAATATCTTTGATAATTTTTTAGAGACATAACACTCTTCCACTTTGTTATAGACTACTTTATGTAAAAATTACCTACAAACACGATCTTAAATCTCAGAAAAAATATCTGAAAAGATTTTCTTTACCGAAACGTTTTCATTGTTTTTAATCACTCAATGGCTTTCGTTATAACACGACTGATTTTTATATTAAACAAGACAGATTCAAGATTCATAAAGAGCACACGTCCCTTGGAGGTCGTAGACCTACCTTACCGTAAAGCACAAGATTCATAAAACAGCTATTCTTCTGAAGCTTCTTGTAAATTTTAGTGCTGAGTATACATTTTAAACTTCTTGTTATATTTACTTTCATTTTGGATACAATAATGCTGAAAATAACAACATTAATAACAGTATAGTTCCAGCAGTAACCATAGGGACGATAGTGGTGACTATAGTCCTTATATCAATAGTAATTATCAACATAATGACAAAAATTACCAAACCAAGTTTCGATACTAAGATATCAATAACAGCAACTTAAACAATTATACCTCTTCAAACAAGTTAGCAGCCTTATCGCATTGTCCCAACTGAGAGGCGAGTTGAGCCACGGCAAGCTGGCATTTCATCGCTGAACTGCTAGATTCTTCACCTTTGTAATAATCAGCTGCCTGTTCGTAGTGACGAATCGCCTGTTCAATATCTACTAAATCCTTTTCACAGATTTCAGCTATAGTCATGTGGTGTTTTGCAGCTATAGTAAACCGACCCATCTCTAAATGTAAAACAAGAAAGATTATACGAGAAAACTTAGTAGTATATAGCGTAGTGTATGTAATAAGTAAAAAACGGCCCAATTTGGAAGAAACGTTATTCGATAAATTGACATGTAATATGCTGAGAAGCTGAGGGTTCAAGCACGGCTCCAGTTAAACAGATGAGGAAATAGGAAACAAAATAGTCCTCCACAAGTACCTTACAGATATTTATAGAATAAAACAAATTACTAAGCCTGTATAGACGTTTACTAATATAGCATATTTACAGCTATTAACAAACGACCGCTTGATATAGTTGATAACAGACAATACAGTAAATCCTGTGGTGTGCGTAAAAAGTGATGAAACTAGATCACAAATTAGTCGATAAAGATGTCCATATAAATTGATTGAGACACCTAGGTTATAAACTTGTCACGCTGAATTACCTCCTTATTCAACATTCAATCACGGATGAAATAAAATTAAGTTAAATGTATTCATACCTTTTACCCTTGGAACCGTGAACAACTTAAAATCCACAATCAGCTTTCTTTCTGGTTTAAATTTTTCCTTTCTGTATTGACATTTTCCTATTTGTATTCGTTCCTTTCTTCTTGTGGTGTAGGTACTTATTCCAACTTAAACCTAAGCAGTTTACTTCATGGTTGCAAATGTTTGTATAAAAGTGTATTCATGAAATCATTCAGTCACAACTATACAAAAATACCGAATAGTATTGAAATAGGTGTTCAATCAAGAGTAAGAACATTTTGGAAAAAATATATTCATTTAGCTGATTCCATTGCAAGTTCATTTATGTCTTGCTTTACACAACCTACATCTTAGAAAAATGGAAATTCTTATTATTAGTAGGGAAAATGCCTTAACACTTATGTAATTTGGATGGAAATGTGAAAAGTATTAATAGTGGTGAACACTTTTAATGTAATGATCGTGCTAAGCACTTCAGTCAGAAATATGATTTTTATTTTTACACAAAGCCTAACGACGGAAACAGATTACTTCAGTGCAAGAAATGTAAGACTTCTACTACAGTGTGACATATGAGGTCTATTTTTTATAGAGAATTCTGAGTAAACAATTGACGTTTAATGACTTTAGCATTACGAAACCTTACTTCACTTAATTAAATAATCTAAAAATAATGAAGAAAGGTTAGTAACCAGTAGCAAGGCTAACTTTTAAGACTTACTTACTAGGCTTGTCATAAAATTTGTAAGAAATTTCGATATTGTATTGTCTATAGTTCCGATTTCACAATCAAACATTCTGTTAAACTACGAGAATATTTTTACAGGCAAATCTGCCTATAATTTATTAATGATAGATTTACGGCAGTAATCAATAATGTTGAAACTAGTAGGTGTATAGACAGAATTGAACCAGAACATTAATTTATTGAAATCTATAAACAATTTTAAGTGTGTATACTAAATAGATACTTGTCAGCTAATATATATATATATATATATATATATATATATATATATAGAAGAGCAAGTGATACCACACGATTTACGAAACTGAAGGTGCAACGGAGTTTGAACCTGAAGCCTAATGATTAAAAACGAAATAACATACCCATAATGTACTGGTTGCACTTATATGTTTCCCTACACGATGTCATTATAAAGGTGACTGAAAAACACGATATTCGAAACAGAAAAGTTGGGAAAAGGCGGTTTTTAGGTGAAAGACGACACAGAAACCCAATCAACCATGCTACCCAGCCTACAAATGGTAAATTAAATCTACTACTGATGAAGCACTGTATCCAAAGCAATTAATTTTAAGTATAAATTCATTGTGTAGTATTAGTAAAGTAAATGTAGTATATATATGAACGAAAAATAAGACACAAAATGATCTACTAACCAGTATATATTTCGATCGCCTTAGTGAGACATTGAATAGACTTTTTTGGATCATCCTTCTTAAAAACTAGTGATGCGTTCACATAGTGCGTGGCTGCATCATGCTTTGACTTTTGGCCCAAACTTAGGTTTGCAGCCTCTAGAAATGCATTGCCGGCCTCTAAATGTATTAAATAGTTTGTTGAACCAGTCCTTACCAGTCCAATTGTGTGCCATCTTAAAACAATTTCCCGCTTTCTCATACAATGATATCACTTCATCTGTCTTGTCTGAACTAAAATGAAAAGTGAAAAAAGATTTAACGATACATCAAAAAAATGAAATATAACAGTCATAAACATCCATAAAGTAAAAACGGCAATACTGTAAAAATGTAAGCAATAAGTTATAAACCACTGAACGGATAAGAGTTCATGTAAGAAGCACATGTAAATTATATATATGAATAATATATACACGATGAGTTTGTGCTCTAAGCTATTACTTTGCAACCAGAGCTTCAGCACCGTAGACGATATTGTTTCTATCATCGACACTGTCAACATAACAATAATTCTGAGAATGACCACATGCTATGTACAAACTGACACAGTGACGTTCACAAGAAAAGATAGAGCATGCGGTCCGTACGAAGTGATCCCGCACACCACACTTAACGTCAGCAAGGTGCAAGTTAGTAAGATTAAATATGAAATCAAGTTAAAAATACCAAGTAGTGGAAAGTCGAGAAATGTTAAGAGGGAATAAAACTGTAACACCGTATTACACTTAAGAAAATATAAAGAACGATTGTATTGCGTGACTGAAACTGCGACTAATTTTGGAGTTACTTAGGGCCTCAGACTACAAATTATGATGACCTGGCTAAATCTAACCAGAAAATATCGGGCTCCGAATATTACCTAGATTACTAGTCAATAGATTTAAAGCCAATGCTATAACTTGATTTAGTCTTTTTGACAGTGTGATATAACTATTGGGAAGATTTTATAAGACACTAGCAATAAGCGATGTTAGATTATTAATCTGATATCCAGTGAAGAAGCCGAATATAACAGGGTTGTGTTTTGTACGGGAGGGTATTAAAAGTAGTTGAGAGTTTATGCAAGATGTTACTTGTTACCCACTTTTATAAGACTACTAGATTGGAATAAGTTGAAGATATTTTGCAGAAAGATTATGGAACTTGGTCAAAAATAAACTATGTAAGGGCTAATGTGTATCGGCATTGATCCGAATTTTAACACATTAGGACGGAGAGGGAATTAACCAAGTGATATTCTTTTTATCTACTACTGTTGTAAAAGGTCGCATTTTTGCAGTACCATCAGCAATCACTACGACAACGAAAGGTATTGTATAAAACTTCACGACACAAAACAATTATTGTCTATTCATTATATGTACGTATGAGTTGAAATTACTAAGCAAAGTTGAATTTAATGCTTTCTTATGTACTTACTAAATGCACCTCTGTTATCAACGATTTTGAACTGTATGAGACGAACTTTTTAATATGAAGGACGTACCTGATAGGACAAAGGTTGATTTATATCACTCAAGAAACTATTAGAAGTTATTTACACCCTGAGATCCTACTGATGTAAATTAATTACCAACTGTAGCAAAATCATCCGTTCTACTCTTCGTTGATGACATAAAAATTTGGAGACCCATACACAGTATGTCGGATAGGATAGTATTCCAGAATGATCTTAGCTCATTGGTGGCATGGTTGGACAGGTGGTCACTAGAAGTATATCCTAATAAGAGTGTAGTGATGCAAATAAATAACTATGATGAATCTTATCATTACACAATATGTGGATTCGTGCTACCCAAAGTAAGGAACTATAAAGATTTAGGAGTCATATTAAGCAGTGATCTCAAAACCACTAGTCACTGTAAGGCTGCTGCTGCGAAAGGTTATAGGGTATTATGGTCTATTCGTAGGTCTTTCCAGTATTTAGATGATGAAATGTTTAGAATATTCTACCCGATTTATGTGCGACCACATTTAGAATATGGGATTCGAGCAGCGAGTCCTTGTTCCAAGTATGAAGCAGAGATGCTAGAACCAGTCCAATGACGAGGTACTAATATGGTACAAGGTCTATCTGACCTATCTTATGAAGACAGACTGAGACACCTCAACTTAATTTCGTTATCTTACCGTAGAGTACGGGGTGATCTAATATTGGCTTATCGTATTCAGAACGATGACCCTGATATTAACATGTCATATCTTTTACTTCCGTCTAGGACTAATCATTTGAGAGGACATTCAAACAACGTTCAAAAACCGAGATCAAATCTTTTACATCTAGAGTTTCGTCTCTCGCACCGAGTAGTGAACTACTGGAATTCTCTACCGAAACATGTAATGTCAGCACATTTTGCTAATGTATTCAAAACGAGATTGGACCTCCACAGTGTTACAAAGTGCAAGGATTAATATAGGTCGATAGACCTATCCTTATTACTGAAGACTAATGCAAAATATTAAGTTAGCAGTGATTAGTAATAAGTCCGTCAAAATACCAGAGGTTAGAAAACACTTATGCTAAAACAACTTAATTTATCCACTGGGTACCTCGGTATTAACCATACTTTAGGGCTAATATTACAAGCCGAGAGCATAATGAACAGTATGGTATGCAAATTTATATATTAGTAGCTTTGGTTCTGGCAATTAATATTCACCAGCTGAGAGTGGATATGATGCTCTAGAGACATTAAAAAACTGGTCAATTAACAGGCTACCATAACTAGTGAAACCCATGTCTTTTATTCTTAACTAATTTGTTTAAGGCTACTATTTTACGGTCAAGTATATAAGTTTCAATGAGACTCACCCCAAACCAAAAGCAAAGAACCCTTTTTTATTCTTCTTTTGTGCCTCAGCAATCAGTTCTCTTGCCTTCTTCTCGTTTTCATCCATTACTCGATAGTTGCTCACAATTCGAAATAACCACTGGAAAGTATTACAACTAGTTCAATCTCCCACCACCAGAAATAACTAAATGCATGTTTGTCTCGTCCCATACACATACTGAATTAAATTTTGTGTTTTGTAAAAGTTTTGTGCCATTATGGGGTAATACAAATGAAATAATTCAGTTTGTAGTAAATATATACTCAGAGGTGATTTCTTTTGTCTGAGTTCAGTTTCTGTATTAGTCTGGGAGTGACGGAGGACTGACTGTATTTTTTTTGTTAGTCCTGACAATGAAATTGTGATATCCCTATACAATGATGGTTTAGTATATCTTTAACCACACTTATTACAAATTCCCATTTAATACTCTCAGTTTCAATATACCCACCTTCAAATACCTTGATGACGAGATTGTAGGCCTACTGAAATGTTACTGAGCCCTAAAAAAAGATAATCCAGCGAACAGGTAATTGGATGTCGAATATTTTGCTGGTCCTTGTCAGGATCAAGGGCAATTAATGTGCATTAGTCAGTGACAGACTGGTTAATGTGGCAATGGTTGCACTGTGTTTTCAAATATATTCTAACCATTACATTTATTCTAAAACGTTTTGTTTGTTCTGAACGGTTGCAAAATTAGCCACGGTAACCAAAAACTACGTGGGGGCAATCAATATGAAGTATTAGTCTCGAGGCGAAACCTTAACGTGAACCAGCAGGTCGTACCATACACATCCAACCCGAGCAGACCGTGATAATCAAGTTCGCCTATATTGGTAATCTAAAAGAGTGTAAAAACCATATGGTTTCTCAGCCCTGGCTTCTTGATGTGTCAAAACAGTTACAGGAGTTTCAATTGTGACATAGGGGTGGTCTGGCCACATGATCTCACTAATTGTAGTCAGTTTCATAAATATTTGTGGGTTTGTATATCTTCTAATCTGAGTGGGTAAGCTCTCCGGACATCAGCGGTTAACACATCACACGACAGAAGTTCAGTTGGTTGCAGTGTGAAGAGTAATAAAATAAAAGTTCGAATGCCAAAGTAAGATGCAGGTTTCAAGAACCAAATAAATAGATTAGTTGGTTAGTTTATCAATAATGACAACAGCTTGTGAATTGTGAGATGTGCTGCAGACATGGCTGGTCTAAGTGGGAACTGACAATCCATGAGTACTTTTCTGGTCAAGTTCCCTGTTGAAGCCATCCACTGAGGGGCCTGAGATCACTTCACTTGTGTTCATCAAGTCCTATTTGTCTTAAATTGAACTAGTCCAGGAATTCTTAGTGAGCACATCAATTCGAATACTGATAATTATCATGTTGGCTTCGCGATGGAGCATGTGATTGAACAACTGGATGTACATCCGAATCATGATGCATTCGAAGAGTAAATGAGGAGTTTTGAAATCTGGAATAGGACGAGCAAAGACGTTGAACATGATGGAATTGTGACTCACTTACTTACTTTCATCGAAAAGGGTGTGCACAGTTTACCGAAAGATTCGGCATTTCCAGATAAGCCTATTTCACTCTACTAATTGCAGGAATTAACGTACGAAATCTGGAAAAGGCACTCATATAAATGCTGAAATGCTCGTTCCTTGATGTTCGAAGTGTATGTACTAATTACGAGATATTGCACGAAACTCACATCCAAGACATGAAGAATTTCATTAGATTACTTGATTGTCCTAATGCATTTCATGGTCAAAGTCATACGTCATGGAGTTTAATTAACGGCAATTCCCGTTTTTGTGTAAGCATGTGAAATGACTCAATGAATAATTACAAAGCGGTAAGAAAGTTGAGCACAAGTTTGACGAGTGTATATCGTATGGTAAATTTCATTCAAGCAATTCGTGTTAGATGCTTCAAGTGTACTATAATCGGACAAATCAAGTAAACTTGTTGAACTACTCTTCATTCAATCACTAGTGTTAATAAACCATTTGGTTCGGATTTATTATGTTGGGTGATCCTAACGATCATTTATTATATTCATTCGGGGTTTCAAAAGGTACATTCTGTATTCAAAAGCTATTATATGTAGCAGTCAATAAATCCACAAAATAAATAGTTCTGTGATACTTTGGCATTTTTTGTAATATACTAATATATTTGTATAATTCTTCTCGAAATATCATTGTGCAAAAGTTGTTTTTCACGCTATCGGACGTTATCAATCAGCATGTGTACCAGTTTTTTCTTTATCGCACGTTTTTTTTCCTTGTAGTAATACTGATCCTGACCACTCAATCCTCAAAGCTGAACATAGTATAACTGGGAAAAGTTATTCAACGCTAGACACGAAGAGTGGATCAACAATGATGAACGAGGGAATACTCGTTCAATTCAATCAAATGGCATTGCTCAGCCTCGCAAACGTGGTCATTCTGCATAATTCGTCTTTATTCACTTTACATATATCATCATTTCTGTAGCCTAAGTGTGTTCTCTGGAAGGACAAAGTATCATATTACTTATTGTCACGATACGATAAGTCAGTATAGTTAATGATGTGACTTACACGTAAGATCTTATAGATTAAGCAGTCATATTATGACAAATCTACAATTTTAGGATTAGGTCTATTATAAGATCAATACTAATGACGAACATAGACCATAATTCTACATCCTCACACACGTACGAATGTATTTCGACATGCACTTACGGTTTTTTTTTTCTAAGACGCCTGGAAAAGATGAGTAAGATTAACAGAAATTTTCATCGTAAATTTTCTTTCTTTATTATATTGTACCATACGTTCCCTCATATTAGGGAAAGACGACCAGATGCTGATGAATATGGCAAGCTTCCAGAAGAGTGTTTGCCAACAACAAGCTTGTACGTTGTGTACTATTGGTTGGACACATCGTAGGGTAATCTTATTTTTACTCGTCCATTGGTATAACTTGATTGATGTTGGTATCAGAATCCACATGGAAAATCTCCTAATTGAAGGAAATCCTGCGATTCTCCGAGCTTCAAACTGACAGGCAAACATTTCGGGAAACTTCCACACCGGCACGCAATGATGGCAACCATAGCTGGCGAACATAGCCGTTTACTATACGTCACTGTTATGGTTACGAAAGTTCTGTACGTCGTCGACGGTGGTGCGAAGTTAGCGTTTTCACTGCAAATGTTAGCGACTGTCTAAATAACCCAATCTCCAACTTACATGCACCGAATGGAAAACCGGTTACCATATACCGTAATCGACATGTTTAACTTAACGTGGATTTGCGCAAACTCATCCACTGGATTTTCGCTGCTGCAGATGTTTCTATGACATTATTACAAACTGCTATAGCAATATAATCTACTCATCGACACGAGCAAACCGAGGTTAGTGAACGGCAATGCCAAATCATCTGTTTGTGTAACTTCATTTTCTAGATGCAGGTTATCCCGAGTCACCGTTTAGCATATAATCGGTCTATACTATTGAGGGATACCCGGTAAGTACCCTTGTGGTGCATGCTACTTATATTGACAGATATAAATAGTATGTAACATCAATCAGAAGTGGAAGGCCTGCCAAAATAGGCTGAAAAGATTAGACTGAAGAAAACAGAAAGGAATGGTGAATTGGAAGAATCATGAAGGATGTAAAGGACAATTGGTGGGAGATTTGCAGATGAGGTGTTTGATATATGGTTTTCACATTTCACCAAATCACTCTAATTCTAAGTTAATTTATAAAGTGATTATCCTCACCAAGTTTTTTGTTCACAGTATACCGAATTGTACCAAATAAAATCAAGATTATCATGTGAAGCCAATAATTTTACCACATCACGACTACAGAACCACCTGTATTTTCAAAAGCGTGTCAACTGGTTTCTTGAGATCCGAGTTGGCTAAAAACAAACCCGACCATGTTATAGACTTAGGAATCATTTGGCCATCAAACAGATCATGGACATCACGCTCGCACATGGTCCCTAAAAAGGACAGCAACAACTGACTTTCGACTGGTAACTATCGGCGATTGAATGTGGAACTCATTCCTGATAGCTACTCGTTGTCTCACATTCACGATTTGACAGCTACCTATAAATATACAACTGTTTTTCCGAAAACCGATTTGATCAAAGCATATGACCATATTCCATGGCTGCTGACAACATTTCTAAAACCACTAACATCACACCTTTTGGTCTCTACGAATTTTTGCGCATGCCATTCGGCTTAAGAAATTCTGCACTAACTTTCTAGTAATTCTCGATGATGTATCTCGAAGGTCTCAACTTCGTACATGCGTATGTTGATTTCATGACTAAACGTCCGGACAAAGAATCTTATTACCGACATTTGAACCTTGTTTCCAAATGACTCTAAAAATATGGCACTGCTGTAAACATTCAGAAATGTCAAATCGGCACCGACTATCTAGATTTTCTCGGAACTACTATCGATGCTCAAGGCATCCGACTTTTGAAAACCAAAAGTGGCGACCATTCTAGATTACTCAGAACCAACCATAATCAAGCATTTTCACACGTTTGATCGACTAGTAGGTTTCTATAGGCAGTTCGTACCAAGTTATGTGACTGTTATGAGACCTTCGCGAAAATGGGAAATCCATCAGCTTTGGACGATATCGCGAAAAAAACATTCTCCATAGTTACGGAGCTTATCGGGAAAGTAAACTGTACTCGCACACCAGAAAATCAGAGTGCCCGTTAGTTTCGCAGAAGACGCCTCCGATCGCCAAATCGGAGGAGTCTTACAACAATGTATTAACTACGCCAAACAACCTTTGACATTCATCTTAAGACAGTTGCTAGACACCAAATCGAGTTATAGCAGCTTCGGTAGCGAACTCCTAGCTATGTATTGTGCTGTACGGCACATTCAACACTCTGTAGAAGGTCGATAATTCACTCTATTTTCCGGCGATAAACCTCTCACCTCTTCTGCGTTAGCTCGTCTTAGGACAAGTACTCCTCTCGAGAGTCTGGACAACTGAACAAATTCCCGCAGTTTATTCCAGATATACAACACATTTCTGTGCCAAACAATGTGGTAGCAGACCCTTTTTTCACATAACTTCCTCGGACATTTTCCAAGAAATCGATAATCTCAAAAGAAGGTACTGATATCCAATACGAGTTATCTTCGACAACCCTAAAATCA